ATCTCTCTCCTCTCTCTGCTTCTCTCTCTCTCTCTCTTTTCGTGTGAACAACAGAGACGTGCGCGCGATGAGAGAGTCTTTCTGTTTTCGTCGTGAAGCCCTTTCCTCAGTTTCGCACCTGAAAGTCCTGCGGACGCATCGAGTTCTGTTCCATCTTCGGAACTGGTTTCGGTCTGAAACAGATTAACAAAGTATGGATGAATACGGAGATAGAAGAAAGATACGTCCGGCAGCGTTGCGTAGCGCATTTAGTCGTATTCACACACTATTCGCGTTGCTAGCTCCCTCTATAGGAAAAATAGACCAATAAAAGACCCCCCCCCCATTATATATATATTCCCGCCCATATGGTGTGGCAAACGCCCCCCATCTATCAGGGCAATCATGCATTGCGCATGCGCATGGAGATTTGACCTTTATTGTCCGTGCGCAATGTAGAGGGGGAGAATTATTACAATGGGGGATGTCTATCATGCTACAGGCGTTCTGTTATTCTATAGATGTCATTGTACGTATGTAATGTCGAGTGTTTTGCGCGCGTGCTGTAAAGCCGTAGGCTTGGCGTCCTAGCTTCAATAGAATGTGCTGTGTGTCTAGCTGAATACGCGACCGCGTGTCTGTGTATATATGTCATCTCTATAGGTTTTCCTACGCCCAAATTTACGAAATGTGCGCGCGAGTGCAAATATGCCGTCGCTATGTCGTTGCTATGGGTTTTCGCCATCGCGTAAAAATGCAGGACAATTCATGTACGGCGTCCGTATGCAATAGAGTTAGTCTCCATGTAAAAAATAAGACATAGATAAGATAAGTGAACAGAGATGTGGGTGAGCAGCCTTATATGCTATAGATCGCAGCATGATATTATCGTTCTAGAAAGGGTTAGCTCGTGTAGTGGGCATGAGAGAGGTTGAAAGGCTCGTGTTTATTGTAGTAAAGTTTCCAGCTCGTATAGGTTCACTCGGCGTGGCCCACAGAGGGCGCTCCGTCGCAGTTATACGTTCACTTGGTTCTTCTCCCTACATATATACCCATTGCGATTTAATTAATGGCAAATTGCCAAAATTAATTACGACAATATTATAATATTATATATAATTATTACAACAATAACTAGATTTCCGTCGGATATACTTGTATTTGTATACGCGTGGTAGAGCTACTACGTGGGTGGGGTGTAGAATGTACCACTACTGTGATTTTTTTCCCGTGCCGCTCGCATAAACTTAGGCTTGTCATTAGTTTTTTTTGCATCTTGTCGTAACTTGCCGGTCTGCACACGGCCATTTTTTTTCGTTGACTTTAGTTGCAGACTTTAGAATCTGGCCGACGCGTCGCATATAGCAATAGCAACATGTGTGTGTATGGACACTGATCTCACGAACTCGTGGCGAATGTGTGATGACGTCGCACCGTGCACCGCCCCCATTCGGCAAACTTCGGTCAACTCCGTCACTCTCCGTTATTTCGCTCCACTCGGCTGTATTCCGGAACCAATTAGATTTTCGTAGGCCCGCCCGCCTAATCAAACACCTCGCTTGCAAATCTTTATGGAAAGTTTGGATTGAATGTAATTACATGGTGTGAGAGGCATTACAATGGCAGGTCTATTGTGAGGAGGTATCAGTAGTAGAAGGGTTGGTAGTTGACGACAGTTGAAAGTGATGGCATAGTAATCAGCATTGATTAGCGTCAATTAAGTTTAAGTAGTCTCGCGTCATATTTCTAAAGCGATGTCATGAAATGAGTTTTGAACGAAATGATGCTATAGCGTAAACTAATCGAATAATATCCAATTGTTACTGCATGTTACTGTTACTATACGCTGTCTTTCTTATATGTTGATAACATTAGCAGTAAATTAACATTAAATTAACAGTAAAGTAACATTAGCAGTAAAATAGGGTGAGGCATTTCTTTATTCGATAAATAGTTTTAACAAATTTTTTCTGATTAGAATATTAAAAAAAAAAAAATTATTACCAATTTTTATGCACTCCCAATTTAACGCGAGGTACGTCGACATTATTTCGCCATGTATTCGTCGCTGTCGTTGCATGTACCTGTAAAGGTGTCACCGTGTCGCTGTCGTGTACAGTGGCGGATCTACGGGGGGTTAACCCCCCCCCATTGGGCTGCCCCGGACCCCCCTAACAAGGCGTGCCTTCGGCACGCTGGGGTGTGTAGGCCAATCACCTCAGGTAAACCCCCCTTAGTTAAACCCTAGATCCGACCCTGGTGTACCTGTACACAGGTGTGTGTCACGGTGATGGAAGCGAGACAGCTAGCCGGTCTCAACATGGACCCTGTCGTCTGCGTGCAAGTCGGAGAGCAGAAGAAATACACGAGCGTAAAGGAGTCGACAAACTGCCCTTACTGGAATGAGGTAAGAGATTTATTATTTATTTATTATTTTCTCCTCTCCTAACACATTACGTCGTTTTTTGGCACCACCTCCAATGGTGCTTATTGTTATGGTTTGGTAATGAAGTGGAAAAGACGTTTTCCATAACGTTTCTGTAAAACGGTCTTCCTACGTAAAAGTTAATAATTTAAGGCTTATTTTAAAACGTTTGCAAAGTGAACGTCTGCGTTAGTCCGTCCACGTCACCGGTCGGTTTCAGTAAATCGAACGTTGTTCACTGCTATTCAGCTATTACGTATGGTATGCATTAACCTTTCTCACGCATATTGAAAAAACGTTTTCGCCAACTCAAAACATCGCGACCGGTTCATCTGTTAATCTTCGCTGTCAGTAAACTTGATCTGCTAAACCGTTCAAACATGTCGGCGTTTCTCTCTAACAAACGTTTGCCCAAAAACTTGTTATAACTCACCCAAGCACCTTACGCCACGCTAACATTACAATAAGGTTGCCTAAAATGGTCCCTTAAGATAACGTTGAACTAACCAACTCTTTTATTTACTGTTTTGCATTACCAAAAGCCTTAGTTTAGGTTCTCTTCCCGACAAAGCGATTTAACACCATTAACTCACCAATTTTATTCCATATTCCACGCAGGCGCGCAACACATACGTAAGCAGCACCACACACGCACGCAAATGCTACATCCGTGCAGCACGCACGCATGACCCCACACCGGCCACACCCATATCCGAGGCACACATCACGCTGCAGCGCTCAGCACCACTACGCACACACACGCTCGATCACTCGGGCACATCACGACAAACACATCGCATCTCTCTCTCAGTACTTCTCTTCTCTCATCTCCTTCTGCTCGCTCTATATTTCTTCTCTCTATATTTCTCTCTCTCCGCTCCTGTCTCTCTTCTCCCCATCGTCTTTCTCCTCACGCACAACCGCGGCGCGCGGACTCACGGCAGGCACGCACGCACCGCTCTGCCCTACGCAACACATTACACATTCTCCTCACATCTGATCTGAGTCTCCTCTCCTCCTCTCTCTCGCACACGCGCGCGCCGCGCGTGCGCGCAACATCTATTATGTTTGGTCGTGAACACCAAGCCGCCCGGCTTTTGCTGCCACTAGTGTGCCAAGCCACACCTGCTGACATGAAACCACGCATACACACATAACCCCAAACTCGCTATCCCCCTGGCACGTGCGTCGCGATAACCACATTATGCCGTCGCGCTGATAAATTAACCCATAACCATGAGAGACCGCCCCCGTATACCAGAGAAGACGTCGCCCTGAACGAGATATCTGGCTATTGATTCCTGCCCTCCGCTAAGCGGCGCGAAATGCCTACGGCGCGCGACGAGCCCCTTGCCCGGCTGGCAAAGGAAGGTGCCGCACGCAACCTGGCGAGGGGAACGTCCTACCGAATAGTATCACCGCACTGGCAGCTTTTGATCCCCGTGCGGCGCAAAATCGAAAGGCCCCCGGCGCAGCGATATCAGTCTGCTGCCCAGCCGAACACTATGTCTCAGCGCGAAATTTTAGGTCCCGGGTCCGTTAATTCAACTAAGCTAAAGATAAATTAACACCCACAACGCAATCGCGTCCAGCACCGCCTAAGTAGCGATGTTTCCCGTGACGTCGCCATAAATCGCAAACATATGTTGAGGTCAGGCCCCGGGCTCTCACACCGCTATTTGCTTATGTGTTGTCGGTTGGCAGAAGCCCAAAGTCGGGCCCCTGCTTGGACATCTATTACAGATGAATCTCCCGACCACGCGATGTTCCTCCGATTCAGATCCAAGCTGCCGTGTTTATGGTAGTTCGCACGTACAAGCTCCGTGCTGGCCGGCGTCGCGTTCCCCCGCCGTCGTGCGCTGCGTGCCGGTGGCGTGTCGCTGCCGTCGCGACGTTACAGGGTCCCGTAGCTCCTGTTGAAACATGGGATTGCCCCCAGCCGTGCCTCGTCTCACTACGAAATAGGGCGCGAGCCGCGCTTTATGACACGTGCGTCGCGTCGCCGTTCCATGCATGTTGAGAGTGGGCGTGTCGTGACCGCTTTTCACCCCTCCTTGACGCTAACATCCCCCCGAAACCCTGTCCCCCCCCGGCTATCCCTCTTTTTCATCTCTCGCGGGCCACCTACATAATGAAAACAGCCCGTCGGTATACTCGTAAAGCCAAACGCCCGATGAACAATAAAACGGCGTGCTTGTAACCGTCTGACCTAAATCGCGCGTACGCGCACTATGGAAAAATATCGTCTTGCCGTGCAGGAAGGGAGCATCAAGCGGCGTGATGCGATCCTCCTGAGCCTGTAGTGATATGATCGCAGTTGTGCGCGCTCTAGGGATCCTTACTGAAAGCTCGAGAGCGTGCGGCCCGCAATCACCCCACCCCGATCCGCATACACCGGTCAGTGGTTCGCGTAGCAGTCGGTCGTGACAGAGCCGTGCCCAGGGGTCGATCTAGAAATCAGATCCGAGTGGGACGTGGGTGCGACGTCGTTCCGCGTCCTTCGACTGGAGCCAAAGCTGGCCCTCTGTGATTGCTTTGGAGCTGGACGACCTCCCTGCAGCCTAACTATCCCCTATTCTATTCCTCGTGGCCACCACCACATTTCCGCTTACTAGTACAATTGTGACCCCACGCTGTGACCTGCCAGGGTTCCCAGTTTTCTCCCAATAAACTATAGTCAATCCTTTCATTTCCCATCTGTTCGTGCAAGGCAAGGCTTTCCTTTTCCAATCCCGCTGCTATCCCCACGTGGCATATCCCGAAAGCCCTACGGTCTTTCCCCAAGGTTTGAATGTCACATGCCGTGGACGCATGCTAGCTAAGTGTATCCGTTCCGTTATCCTCCCCAGCGGGATCTCGCATACTTCCTTCGCCCCTACACATGAAACCTCGAGCTTCGGCTTACTTGGCATCGAGAATCACATGAAGAACGGCTCTTTCCCTCGTCCAAGTCTCTAGAGCACTCTTTCCATGCTGTAGAGATCACAAGTGAAATTCATTCTTCACCTATTCCCAGCTGTAAGCTCCTCATATCGCGCGTCCTTCCCCGTCAGAGATCCTCATCAGGTCGTGGGTGCGCTGCCCCTCACGAGCGTGAGTGCTGCGTTGTGCGTCGCGTGGCGTTATCGTGCTATCGTACACATCGTGCGCCCGTTCGTGTATTGCCTCGTTTCGTCACGTAACACTGCGTGCGTGTGTGCGTCGCCGTGCGTTGCGTGCTCCGCGCGTCCTGCCGCATTCCGTGAATGTATACCGTTCGTCGTCGTCTAATCCGTATAACAATCCGGTGCGTGCCCAATGAGTGTCGTGCGTGCGTGTGCACGTACTCGAGTCGCTGCGTCGTGCGCCGCGCTGCATGACGTAAACATGTGCGTCTGACGTCGCGCCTGCTCGTGCGTGACTTAAACACGCTGTGCACGTGGCACGTCATCTCCTCGTGCGCTTGAACGTGCCGTCGTGTGGACCACGTCAAACGTTTGTGCGTGCGTGCTCGTGCGTCCGCGTCGCGTTACCAAAACTACAGCTCGATATACCCCCTCGGTCGCGGTGCGGTCTCTCGCGTACCTCATCCTGCGCGGCGCAGTGTCCCTCACCCCAATCAACAGCGTCGGCTACTTCTCCCAACGGTCGGGTCATCTGCGGTCTCCTCTCTGCTCTTACTCTTTTCTCTCCCTCTCGTCTTTCTTCTCCCGCCTGGCCACTGTACGGCATCAACGGCGAGTCTTGCCACTACAATCCTAACCAGGCGTAGACATACTTTGACAATCCCCATGATGCTAGGTTCACTGGATGACGGTGATTATCACCGGACAAACATAACTTACACAGAAAGGAAATAGCTCTCTCTCTCTCCTCTTCGCTGTCTCCGACAACACGTGCGCGTGAAGCGCCTGCATTTAACTACTCTGCGTAATGCTGGTTCTAAACGAAATCTCTCTCCTCTCTCTCTCAGGGTAGATAATACGACTGCGGTACTATAATATATAATATATCTATTATACTACTACTAGCCGCTACAGCACTCCGAGACGCGAACGCGCGAACCTCCCTAAGTCCTCCGCTGACAACCGACGCGTGGCGATGGCCGTACTAACTCGAATACCGGATGCTCCTAAAAACTAATAAGTAATTAGTGGTGAACGGCGAAAGCGTCCCCATCTCGACGCCTTCGCGCATCGCCTGTTGCAAAGGGATGGCTAGTGGCGCAGTTGGCGGTGCGCCATGCTGGGCCGCGGAGGACGATGGAAGTCAAGACGATCAGAAAAGGAAACGGAAAGGGAGGAAACACATTGACCGTATAGCTTAGGCGTCACAACAGACGCCATGGCGTAGTGGCGCAGTACTAATATCACTTGACGGGCGATGCGGAAGTCATGGGGCCCCGAGAACTAGCGCGAATCATGCTAGCGCTAGAAAGCGCTATTTGCAGGACGCGATTCACACAGCGCCTGAAGACGGCCGTCGAGCAGCGAGTGTTACACGTTTGTGCCGATATGGTTATAGGGCTCGTGTTGTGGGGGCTCGGGTGTGGTGCAGGGGCGCCACGCGAAGGCGATCCTGGAAAGCCATAAATCCCTGTACGTCGTTGTGCGGTGCTAGCAGCGAACAAATCTCAGTGTCGCTCGCATACAAAGTTTCAGTGAGATAACGGTAATAGAAATACCGTGTATGCACTCGTAGGTGGCGGCTTATCCTAGGCATGGGCCACACAAACTGCGCGCTTTCCTGATCACGAGGAAATCGTCAGACCACACGGTGATGGGTGCGGGCAGGTCTGTTTCCGGCGGCAGACTGCCAACGGAATGAAGATCTGAACAGCAGCACAGCGCTCGAAAATCACTAGTCAACTGCAGCGTTACTGCGCCACCTCCACCTGAGACAACAAACCGAAAAAACAAAAAACACGCAAAGATCACGCACACAGCACGACAGAGTAGCACGTTACCACGAGGCACAGTTATCAGCACACACACAACGAGCAGCGCGACGCACGGATATAGGCGAGCCGACGCCACGCACGGACACCAGGTTTGAAATGAGCCACGCACACACACACACGAGCAGACACATCACACACACACAAAACACGAACAGCCTCCCTCTCTGACATCTGCAGTAATCTGGCCGATATGACGCGAGGGGGAGCTTAGCCGGCAAGCCGCAGACCGCTCGCAGGGCGCGGAGGTGGGTGTGCAGTTCAAGCGCTTTGGGCAGTCAAGAATGCCGTCGATATAGGAAAGCTGTAGCAGTGCTCGCATTCGCTGCATATTCTGCTGAATCACACGCGCGGCGCGCGCGAAGAGAGAGAGAGGAGCGAGCGAGCCAAGGCTGCCACTAGGGAAAGATCGCTCACAGAAACCCTAAGCGACCTTATGTCTCCCGTCTCTTCGTCTCTCGTGTCTTTCTCTCTCTCTCTCTCTCTCTCTCCACAGCAGCGAGTGCGTGGTCGTTGTCGTGGGTGTCGTGGCGTGTCGTGTCGTGGCGTGTTCGTGGCGGCGTCGTAGCATGCCGGTGTCGTTCATGGCGTGGGCGTGTCGTGTCCGTGTCCGTGTCGTGTCGTGTCGTGTCGTGGCGTGGCGTGGCGTGGCGTGGCGTGTCGTGTCGTGGCGTATATGACGGTAACATGCTATATATCGGCGAACATGGATGCGAGCGTCACAAACGTAACCATCGACTAATTAAGTAAAAAGGAAAAAAAATTGTAAATGGCATCATCGAGAAATCAAAAGACGTCCGACGTTCGTTAACGTAGCGAATCGATATGAAACAAAAAGTTAAAAGCCGACGCGCGTTGCTTTTGTTGTTGTCGATTAATTTTTTTTTCGCGCGCGAAAGCGCGGCGTAACACGAGCTTGCGAACCGCAGCGCCACGCAAACAAAACGACCAATGAGAAAAATGTCAGTAGCGATCACGTGACAAAGCCGGACGCTAGCTAACGATAAGTGCTGCGTACGTTTAATGATGTAGTCCTAATCTCGAAGACACATGAGAGCGTTTTTTCACACCCTTTCTACGCGCAGCGCGTACGTGTGACACAGCTCGAACGTAAAAAATGGGGGGTGGGGGGATGACGTAATATGAGCAGCTAATGACGCGGTTGAAGCAGAATTATAATCAGCACTCTCGCACGTTATTACCCGCATAGATAAACACGCAATCTGGCGGTCATAATAACAACCCGACGGTAGCTTGCCAATTACATCCCGATGGGATAGAATAAACTAAGAGCAAGGCAGAAGCACGTCCGCCCCATATATTATATAATATAAATATATAATATATATAAATATATTATATATATATACATATATATATATACACATATATATATATCAACACGATGCACTCGGTAGGCCAGCCGTAATAACCTGACGTATCTAATCTATAAACGCGTAGACACGGATGCGGGAAGCCAGACAACGTTAATGTGAAAGTTACACAAACACGGCGCACCCTATCGCTCTTATTATGATTACTATTCTCGACACCAGGTGGCGCGGGTAAATATGATCGAAGTTATACGTAGTGTATATGTATTGCCCCCGTCCATTAGCCACTACCACGAATAGCGAAAATAGCAAAAAGAAATACTCAATTAATTAATTAATTAATATCTATATAGCTAAAATAAATAAACATCACGTACCGTGAGGGTGATGATTTTGTCAAACAGCATCGACGGTGCTTCGTGAAAGTCAAAAACAAAGTACTGGAACACAAATCACAAGTATTAGCGGGCGGTCACACTCTAGAAGTACTACCTATATAGCCTAGTTTACTAACGCTTTCTCAAACTCAAA